GGAGCGCGGAGGATCCCCGGGCCCTGGGGAGCCGCGCCGGGGCTGCCATTGTTTGTGCCAAGCCCGGAGCCTGGCGCACGGCCACCCCCGAGGAATCCCTCACCCGCCGGCAGCGGCGGAGGGGGCCCTGAGCATCTGGGAGGCCCTGCACCCTGAGCAAGGGGCCGCATGCATGGCACCCTTGCCCGGGGATGGGGGCACAGCTTGGGGCTTGACAGAGCAGCTCAGCCTCTGGCCCTTTGGGGCAGAAGCCTTGTGCCCGGAGAGGGGCAGGCAGATGCTGCTGGGGGAGGAGGCAGTGGGGCTAAAACCCAAATCAGGGCACGGGTTTGAGGGAGCCATCCTGGGAGCACCATACTGGGGTGTGGCACCCAAAGGTGCCTGCTGGGACTGGGCATCCCGGAGGCATTTGAGGTTGGGCAGGAGTGGGGTGTGGGCTCTCCCATGTCTATGCTCTCACCCTGTTTTGCTCTTGATCATGTCTTGCTGTCACTCTGCCACAGGGTTGTCCCCACCCCTGCCCCAGTTGTGGGCACCCTCCTGCCCCTCATCCCCAGGGGCTCTCTGGGCAGGAGGAATCCCTCAGGCTGCTCCCATCACCGGAGCAAACAACCCCCCCCAGTTCCCCAGGATCCAGCGTGCTGCTTCAATGCTCTCCAGGCGACTGCTGCTTCTTAATTGCTCTAATGAAATGACTCTAATTAAAGCAATCGCCCCCCAGACAGGGGACGGGTGCTGCAGGCTCTGCGGGGCTCTGCAGCAGCAGCCCTGCCCCAGCACCAGGTGGGGTGAGGGTCCCTGCTCTGGGGACACAGTGCTGGAGTCAACCCTGGGGGACATGGTATGACCCAAATTTCATCAGCAAGAGCTTGGTCCAGGCCCCGGCTTCAGCGCAGGAGCTGTGGCACAGACCTGTGAGCACTGCCTGTCCTGGGGCTGTGACATCCAGTGGGGATGGAGACAGGGACAGGGATGGTTTCAGGATGGAGCGATGCAGCACAGGACCACAGCCTGGCCACCCCTCCTCCTGCACCAGCCAGGCAGGTGGCACAGCACAGCCCCTCTGCCAGCGTTGTCCCCCAGGGTAGGGGACCCCACCAGCACCTGCTCGCGACTGGCAGCAGGGGACACAGCCCAGCACAGAGGCGGTGCCAGGCGCTGCTGTCCCTGTGCAGCCCCAGGTCCCTGCCACGCATGACAGGGCAGGCTGCGGTGTGGGGTGTCCTGGCACAACGGGCTCTGTGTCACTGCCTGCTCTGTCCTTGCACTGTCCCTGTCACGCGGACCCGCTGGCCCTTGCTCCCCAGGTGGAGGCAAGCATGGGCAGGAGCTCATGAAGACAATCCAAGGCAGACCCACGCAGGGTCCTTATGGGGACACGGGGAGGCACAACACTGCCAGCAGCCCTGGCACCTCCCAACACCAAACACCTGCATGTCTTGGGCGGGAGGTCCCTGTGTGGTGCCACTGCCCAGCAGGGGTCCCCAGGGTGATGGGAGGGCAGAGCCCCTGAGCAGGGGGACACCCAGCACCAGCCCTGACCTGCTTACCAGAGCATGCTCTAGCAGGGAGAAGAGCTGAGCCTTGTCCCTGGATGCCCTGGATTAAGGTGGGGGGCTCAGCCTGGGTTGGCTCCCACCTCTTGCCCCCAAGGCCCCGCCTGCCCTGGGCTCTGAGGGCTGCAGCACCCAGGTGCCCCGCTCTGTGCATCCCTGGGATGCAGGCAGGGCTGGCTTTGCTCTCACCCTGCAAACGGCAGTGGGGCAGAGTGGAGGCCACTGCAGAGCCCCCTCCATTGGCCAGTGGGGGAGGTGGGGAAGAAATCAGGCGAGCAGGGCTGGGGCTGCCCTCACAGCCCCTGCATCTTGCCCACCGAGCCACAGCTGCCTGTGCCCAGCCTGGGGAAAATGACCCGAAATTCCCACAGAAACAAAAACTGCCGGCAATGGGGTGGGGGGTTCATGCTGGCTCAGCTTCCCGCCTCCAACCCCTCGCTGGCCCCCACAATGGAGGCGGGTGTGGCGGGAGCCGTCGCCTGCATCCCGGCAGGAGCATCACACACGGTGGCCCTCCCGTCCGTGCACCGCGGGGGTCCATCCGGCGCGGCCCCCAGCACCCCGGGCTGCCGGGAGCTGGGCCGGGGGGGACCGGGGGTGCTCGGCACAGCTTCGATACTGGCCTCCCTTCCAGCGCCTGCGGTTTCCTGCATCTTCGGGGTTGGGGTTTAATTACCTGAATTGCAATGCCCC